AGAGGAAGAAATTCAAGAGGAAGAGGAAGAAATAATTTTGAGAGAAGTGGAAATATAGAGTCCACTCAATAAAATTGTGGAATTGCAAGAGAAGTAGCCATGTTGACAAAAATTGTTGGTTTCGGGGAAAACCTCAATGTTTCAATTGCAAGAAATTTGGACATGTTCAAAAAGATTACCGGTTGAAAACAAATCAGCAAACTAATTTTTCCGAAGAGCAAGAAGGTGAAGCGAGCATGTTTTATGCTTGTCACACGACATCGGAACAAAAGGATGATGTGTGGTTTCTTGATAGTGGGTGTAGTAACCACATGACCGGAGATAAAAATATATTCTTGGAGATTGATTCTTCATCAAATTCTCAAGTGAGGATGGGAAACGGTGCCTTGGTCCAAGTAAAGGGAAAAGGTACTATTGCCATAGAGACAAAAAAAGGAAGAAAGCATATTCGGGATGTGTTACTTGTTCCGGATTTGGAGCAAAATTTGTTAAGTGTTGGACAGCTTGTAAAGCATGGGTACTCCATTCATTTTAATGAGGACTTTTGCAAAATTTATGACAAGGGAGGAAAAAATCATATTGTAGCAAAAATCAAGATGGGCAAAAATATAAGCTTTCTTCTCACTTTTTCATGTTAAAAAAATATGGCCTTAAATATGGATGTTGTTGATGAGTCATGGCTTTGGCATAGAAGAGTTGGGCATTTGAATTTCCAAAGCTTAAATAATTTACAACAAAATAGCATGGTGTATGGGCTGCCAACAATACAAGAAGTGAAAGATGTTTGTGAAGGTTGTGCTCTTGGCAAGCATCACCGAGAGTCATTTCCGAAAGAGAAGACATAGAGGGCTAAAGCACCATTGGAGCTTGTTCATACCGATGTGTGTGGACCAATGACAACACCAATAAAAATAATAAAATACTTGTTACCCGTTTGAGTTGGTGTTTTGAAAGAAGATGTCTATGTAAAACAACCTTAAGGTTTTGTTGCAAAAGGAGAAGAAGAGAAAGTTTACAAATTAAAGAAGGCTTTGTACGGCCTAAAATAAGCACCCCGGGCATGGTATAGTGAGATTGATCTTACTTCATCAAAAGAGGCTTTCAAAGGAGCAAAAGTGAACCAACCTTTTACTACAAGACACAAGGTAAAACTGGGATTCTTATTGTTTCTCTTTATGTTGATGATTTGGTATTTACCGGTAGTGATGAAAAAATGATCAATGATTTTAAAAGAGAGATGATGAAAAAATATGAAATGAGTGATTTGGGTTTGTTGCATTACTTCTTGGGCATTGAAATTTATCAAAAAGAAGGAGGAGTTTTTATATGTTAAAAGAAGTATACAAAAACTCTTCTTGAAAAATTTAAAATGTTGAATTGCAAATCCGTTTGCACTCCCTTGGTTGTGAATGAAAAATTGATGAAAGAAGATGGAAGTAAAGAAGCAGATGCATCTTTCTATAGAAGCTTGGTTGGAAGTCTATTATATTTGACATATTCAAGACCTGACATCATGTATGCTACAAGCTTATTATCTCGGTTTATGCACAATCCAAGTCAAATTCATGTTGGGGCTGCAAAGAGGGTGTTGAGATATATATAAGGTACACTTGATTTTGGCATCTTGTATGAGAAAAATGTTGATGCAAAGTTGTTTAGTTTTTTTGATAGTGATTGGGCCGGATGTGTTGATGATATGTCTCTCTTGATTCGGGTGTATTTTCATGGGCATCTAAAAAGCAAGAAACGATGGCACAATCTTCTGCCGAGGCTGAGTATATTTCAGCATCATTGGCAGCGTTACAAGCAATATGGCTAAGGAGAATTTTTGAAAATGTTGGTGAGAAGCAAAGAGAAGCTACTCCAATTTTATGTGACAACAAATCTGCAATTGCTATGACAAAGAATCCTATTTTCCATAGTCGCACAAGACACATTGCAATCAAGCATCACTTCATTAGAGAAGCCGTAGAGAATGAAGAGATTCAACTCAAATATTATAAGACAGAAGACCAAGTTGCGGACATTTTTACCAAAGCACTTCAAAAAAATAAGTTTGAATACTTTAGAGAATTGTTGGGTGTCTCAACATGGCATTAAAAGGGGTGTGTTAAAATTAGATTAATTAATGCCATGTTCATTCATGTATATGTTCATTCATGCATCTGTTATTGTACATGTATCAAGTGGATACATGTATCAAGAGTGTACATGTATCAAGTGAGTGCATGTATCATGTGTGTGGTTGAGAATTGTCTTGGAAAGTTCAAAGGCCTATAGGAGAATAGTATATATAGTGTAAGGGATTTGTTGTCAAGATATCAACACAACAAAGAGTTCAATACAATAGAGAAAAATATTTGTTTCTTCATTCTTCTCTTCTTTTCACTTAGAAATTATTTAGTTAGTTGAAACTATAGCCAACAGGTAGTCGTTGTTTTTGCACTTGAGCTCGAACAGTGGATGACCACAGTGCTGACCATCACCCCAATAAGGGTACCCTATGCCTTTTATGTTTTGGCCACAGTTGTAGGTTTGATTTCTGCACTCCGAGAACATTTCATGGTCTTCACAGTGAGATGTTGAGAAGGTGGTGATGAAGAATAATATGAAGATGGTGAAGTAGTAGTGAGAGAGGGATAAAGAGAAGAGTTGGGCATACATTTGTAAAATATCATGATTCATGAATGGAAAAAGAGAGAATTTGGTGAGATGGAGTTGTGGGTTGGTGGTTATTGATTGATGTTAATGAGTTGAGGGCCTTTCAAAAGCTGTTTTTGATAAATTATGTAACAGATTATATCTCCTAAAATTTCATAAGCTGTTTTTGATACTAAAATTAATAAATTATGTTTGTCTCCATTAAATACCTAAAGATCAGAGAAATCTGTTACATAAATTAGAAGGTAACTAAAAGATCAGAGAAATCTGTTACATGAATAATCAGCGCAAATGGACAGGTATACAAGCAACGGAATATGTCATGTAATCAGCAGCAGGTGCAGAGCAGTTGTAGAAGAAGAATAGGTCCCAATAAGCAGGACCCTGACTAAATGGAGTGTGATCAATGCTAAAATTATGTTTAGGAGTTGGACAAGTATCAGCACTATCATAGAGGGCAGTGTTGACCAAGAGAAGTGAATGATTTGGGTAAAAAATGTCTTTGATGAAGTACTCATCATCAGAAATTGTTAGGATCGGAACATGGTCATTGCAGGTTACCTCGAATCCTGGGGCTCCGCAGTAGGATTCTTGTAGGTCAGAAATATAGAAGGGGTAGTTTATATTAGGTCCATGACCACAGTAATGAGGCAGGCAAGCCGCGAATTTCAAGTCTGCAGATAGAGTTTCAGCTTCTAAGGTGGTGAAGATGTTGATAATGATAAAAATACGGAAAAATCTTTTGAGTATGAAGAAGGCATGAAGATCCATTTGGGGTTGTAGGAGTGAGGAAGGCAGAGGAAAACAGAGAAGGAGAAGAGGAGTCTGGAGTTGGAGAAAAATTCAATGTAGTTGGTATAAGTTAGCCTTGCAGTCTATGTATATCCTTTAGATTTACCTTGTTTTTTTGTTGGGTATATAAATAGAGCTTTGAAAAAGGTTTGTTTGAGTATCTAAATAGAGCTTTGAAAAAGCTGTACTTACCCACATAACAGACAAACTATGGTTCAAGCAACATCAAAGATGTTTCCTTGAGCTACCTTTTAAAATTTAAGTGAGCCATGGCTTCCATCATCTATAAAGCCAAAACGAACTCAAGGGATATGTGACTTTATAGATTATCCCAGTGAGATTTTTTTCCAAACTAATCTGATTATGTATTTTATTTTGGGGACATGCACTAGTCTAATGAACAAAAACATGTGTATGTAAATAACCAGAATGCATCATCCACTTGTAATGATGACATCATGGTTCAAATATGAATGTCCAAACTGCCCTTTTTGGGATTCAAACTATGAACAAGATTTTTTTAGCTGTTAGGAAAACACTCACACATATTTCACAAATTGTTTGTTGCAGACGGAACCCTTACCTCTCATTGGAAAGGGGATAGAAGTTACAGCATTGAGCTTGTTTGTTACAGACGGAACTCCTTACCTCTCGTTGGAAAGGGGAGAGAAGTTACAGCATTGAGCTTATGGCTCATAGGTGACAAATTGGAGAATTTCTTAGGGAAAAAGACATGGGAGGACTATATATAAATTGAGTGATGATGATAAGTATGACTTTTGGAATACTACTGACTGAGTTGGGGTTGGTTGAACCGAAAGTGAGAAAAGAGATACCCCTTTCTCCACCTATCTTTCTCATTAGGTGTTGGACAGCAACAGCAGAGGAAAATTTGAACCCTCTTGGTAAATTCACATTTTAAGACATAGCATTTGGACGTGTTTTAGGCTCACCTTGACCTGAAGAGAAATATTCCACACGCATAATTAATCCATTGACTGTTGACATGTTCAACGGTAGACGTGGAACTGTAAAATACATATTTTCTGGGTCCCACAACTAATTCATAGTTTCTCACAAGATTGGATACTTCGTGATTGTTCAACCAGTTTGACTTTCCTTATGGTCCAAGAAAGGGTGAAGCAACTTAAGCCTAAACTTCAATTGACATTAATGGTGACCACAGTTTTATCAACTTTCAACCAGCAATCACATAGTGCAGAAACATGACATCTGATGGAACTTCTTGGTTACTAAAAATCAAGAAATCAATCTTTCCTCATTTTAACGGGGACATTTCATAAAACAATGAAATATTAAAAAGATACGAATTGGATGTCCAAACTCTGAACAATCGAAAGAGAGAAGAGTGTGATGTAATGGGTTCACCTCCCCCCCCCTCTCTCTTTTGACTGTTTGGAATTCAAACAAATAATTAGTTATTCGATGTCAGTCCTATCGATCAGTACCAAATACTAAAGCTAGAGATGAAAATGCTAACACAAAAATTAACCTAGTGAACATGAAAATCAAAGGGGGTTGCATACCACGGTCTTGACAAGTTCGACGGTGAGGCTGGTCGTGACAAAAGCAGACAAATTCGCGCGTAGCAAGATTGAATCCACAAGTCCCACCGGAGGTCTCACACGCCGCACATTGGAAATCGTCTGTATTATAGATAACCTCAAACCCTAAATTCAAAGCTTTTTGCAGATTCACCGAGCCATTCCAAAGTCCGTCCAAACTCGTCTTGAGAACCGAAACTTCAATTCCATCTTCGCATGAGGTCCCGTCATTCCCGTTCAGTTGAATCCTCAAGAATGACTCGTCCGCGTAAAAGCCGTTACTTTCACTAGAACCATCGAAGTCACATGTGAAGTTGTTCCTGCTCACGAAGTCTATGGTAAAATTTGAGGTGCAGTTGTAGAATAAATACAGGTTTCGGACAGTTGAAGGATAGCCAAAGAAGGTGGTGTTCAAAGTTATATTAGTCAATGTCTGAGGACAGTGATTATACCATAGGTCTAACCGTGCCATAGTCATGGTGTAACCGGATGAGTTGATCCCTAGTACACGGAAGGTATGATCATCGATGTCTATAACCGGGTAGTCGTTGTTTTGGCACTTGAGCTGGAACAGTGGATGGCCACAGTACTGGGGTCGTCCATCACCCCAATAAGGGTACCCTATGCCTTTTATGTTTTGGCCACAGTTGTAGGTTTGATTTCTGCACTCCGAGAACATTTCATGGTCTTCAGATTGAGATGTTGAGAAGGTGGTGATGAATAATAATAAGAAGATGGTGGAGCAGTAGTGAGAGAGGGATAAAGAGAAGAGTTGGGCATACATTTGTAAAATATCATGATTCATGAATGGAAAAAGAGAGAGAATTTGGTGAGATGGAGGTGTGGGTTGGTGGGTTATTGATTGATGTTAATGAGTTGAGGGCCTTTCAAAAGGACAAAGAGATGGGAAGGTTCTGTCCTGATGTAATGTAAACAGATAAACCAGCCCATTTGCTTTGACAAAGAAACGTGAACTTAATTTATTTAGAATTTTCAGAGAGAGACAGAGACAGAGATGGCTGCTGATATGGATGACTAATTAACTGTTGCTTGGAAAATTGTTAAGTTGAATTCATGGCATGCTGTTGACACGTACAAATTCTCCGCCACCGAATTTTTATTTTCTTTTTCTTTTTCTTTTTTCTTTTTTCTTTTTATTTAGAAAGCAATTCTCAATAATTTAAAAAATTATAAAAAATAATTTTTTAAAAAACAGAGGGCTAGTTTAGTTTGTTACTTGGAAAAAATTTCTCAAGAACTCAAAAATAAAGAAAATTACAAAAATTTTAAATTAAAATTTTAAAAAATAATTTTTAGAAACTACCAACCAAATAAATTTTTGTATAATTTTCTCATTTTGATCAAACTATCAAAACCATACCTTTTCTAGCTTAGTTTTCAAAAAATAATTTTAAAAACTGTTGACCAAACATATATTTTTTTGTATAATTTTTTTATATTTATTTTTTTTTTTTGTAAAAAAAAATTCTGAACCAAACAAGCCTAGTCTAAGCTTTTGAATGAATTTAAAACTATATAAATTATCAATAATACTAAAAGTTAAATTGATCAAGTCAATCTCTTCTGATACACTCTTAAACACCCTCATCTAAGAAGTCTACGTTAGGTTATGATTCCGTTTTTCCAAGTGTTATGGCATATTTGTGCGCCCCTAACACTTCCTATGCACTGTTAAAATGTTTCAGAGTTATGACACTCATTTTATAACCTCCTTAGATTGATTTATTTACTTAATTGAGAAACGCTATTAAACTAGTTCCAAGTCAAGCTAGCCCATCCAGATCCAAACTTAATTCTATTGTAATATGGTCCCTTTTAATACATAAATTAGGTCAAATTTTTTTTTTTTTTTTAACCTAATAAGGAAAATTCGTAATTAGTGTAGTTAAAGAAAAGAGAATTCCAATCTAGAATCATAATTAGGGACAATAAGACAAAGCCTTTTTCCACTTTACAACACCGTAATCTCTCTAGAGTTTATTAAGTTATAGATTGGATCATTTACTCCCAAAAAAAATAAATAAGTAAATAAATAAATGGGATTGGACTAAAAAGAATGAAAATTATATCCCAAACTATCTAGGCCATAATAAAGTTGATCACGGGCTAATTCTGTCCTAGATATCTTTTAATTTAAAATTTTAAAAGTAATATGTTCAATACAGTGCATTTGACTTTTCCATTATCTTGACTCTGAAATGGCAGTGGAATAAAATTTCAGAACTCCAATCATAGGTGCAGATATACTTTTCTAGCTGCCGGAAAAAAATATATATATATATATATACTTTTCTTGAAGAACATTATTCCATCATATTGTTCACGTGACTCCGACCAGTAAATCATGTTTGGGTGTCTACTGTGGTCTATATAGTAAAATCCTTCTAAAGTCTAAATCCAATTGTTTTCCTCACCATCAAGGAGGAAATAGTTATGGGGCTGGACGGGAAGCTGAAAATTCAGATAGACCTGTTTATTTGTAAGTCAAATTATGAACCTGAATTAAGACGTCGGATCATCTCGGCCAAAGATTGAGTTCTATTCTTTTTTTCTTTTCTTTTTTTTTTCTTTTTCTTTTTATATTTTGAGTAGTGATACTTATACTGAACATTTATAGTGAATTGTGTAATCCAATAATTTTTAATTAGATATTTATACCAAACACAACTAAGCGGAGGACTCCACTTCCTTATTTGTTACATAATTGACCATTTAAAAGAGTAGATCTAACAATTTACTGCAGTTATTCGGTATAAGAATCATGCTTCTTATATTTATTATAAAAATAAATTTCACTTATATTTTCTAAGTTTTTCAAACCAGTGTAACTTATTAATGACGGTCTATCTATTTTACTATTTTGCTCATGAAATATTTGTTTTCGGACACCAAAAAGGCAAAATTGATGTTCTATCAATTTTTTGCTATTAAAATCAATAAATTATGTTTGTCTCCATTAAATACCTAAAGCTAAGAGAAATCTGTTACATAAATTAGAAGGTAACTAAAATTGTAGAAGGATCTAAGTGGAATTTATCTTATTTATTATTTATTTCAAAATCCTAATTAAGAATTGTATACTAAATAAATTGCTATAAAGTAGAAAAGCAAACTTCAAACAGTGTGATAAAAAAGAAACGCAGTCCAATATTATATGAAATGGAGCCATGAATGATAGGACTTTTATCATGAATGGTTTTGTTCCATGGGGCCTATGAAATTATGAAAGGGGGAAAAGAAACAGTCAATTTTGTTGACAATGTCAATCTAAAATTACATGCAACCGGCCCAATTAGTTATTTGGAATAAAAGACACTGCTAGCTGGTAACCAGTAATTTCAATCAAATCTCCGAGATTAGAAAAAAGACTTGCAAGAATATTATAATAAGAGTAAGATAAATTTTAATTAATTTGGATTTTGATCATGTACCGCCATTTAATAATTTCTCAATTGATATACTGTCTTTGATAATTAACGAAGCTCCATTTAATATAGTATTGCAATTTGAGTAGAAATCATAGTAGGCTTCTACAGATTTTGGGAGGAGGAAGATGGAGATCGCTCAGAAGAGAGGGGAAGATGGAAAGATGTTGAGATATTGCATTACGACAAAATCCGACTAGTCAGAGAGAGAGACGATGAAGAATAACTCCATCCATCCATGTAATGCAAAAACAGTACTAGTCTGAAGCCATTGACTTTGAACAGTTTATAAGTCGACTTAAACCTATTATTCAATTACCAATTTACACTTTACCCACTAAAACACGCAAAAGGAGGACTTGACCATAAAATCAAAGGCAAAATTACTAGTTAGTTTTATTTTTTACTTTTAAAGACCGATAAGTCCTATTAACAATTTCTTGTTTTAATATTATCCTTTCTTTTGTTTTAGGTAAAAAATATTATCCTTTCTTTTTGAAATTCATTTAATAATTTTTTTATTGAAATGCTAGCTTTGCTATAACCTTTATCTATAATTTCAAAAGTGAAAAACAAAAATTCAAGTTATAATATGAATAAATAAATATATATATATGTGTGTGTGTGTGTGTGTGAATTAGTATATAATATCTCATAAACATTACTATCATTTGTATGTATTCGAGAAGAAGGCCACTCAGTATATGAAATATTTAAAATAGTTGTGTTTCCGGTTGTTCCTTCCAAGTCTCTAGACACTTATAATTGACTTGGTAAATGAATATTTTATATGAAAGTGGTGTAAGGGGTCCAAAGCCCTTAAAGTCTTATTTTACGTGAAAAGTTGAATATAAGATTTTTAAATAAAGGACAAATCAAGAAGAAACCATAATATATTCTTTTTAATAGTCCTAAATATTTACACCGTTAAATTTCCCTCTATTTTCCTAACCATACTTAATGTACTAACTCTTGTTTCATTAACCAGCAAGGAGTAGTAATTGAAGGGCCTCTCTCTCTCTCACACACATCTATGTATCGTTCCGGTGCCTCTGCATTAACCTTTTGCTCCACCTACTAGCACTTTATATATTGCATATTCTATGGCCACTAATTATGGGGTACTAGAGCCCCCTCCCATATGAAAGCTAAGGCAGGTGTTGATCATTGGTTAGATCAACCATCCAATCCGTGTTTTTATGATTAAAAAGACTTCGCAATATATAGAAGATGGCTAGTAGTCCATCCCATTTAATCAACATACCCCTTTAATCAGACATTTATAAAATATAATGAAAACAAGGTAGGTAGTAGGTACCTTTTTTGCAGAGTTCTCTTTTCGTAGGGCCATCGGAGCAAAAGCATGACAACTCATTATTCGCGTACCCACAGAGCGCGCGAGACTCCTTGCATGTCCTACACTCTCTCGCGTTCCCCCAATCTAACACAAAACCCTTGTTGATGGCCTCAACGTAACCATTGATCAAATCAGATTCGTTGATCTCCGACTTCAACACCTTTGTCACCACTTTATGTTTGCAGTCATCGCGCCAATCCACACCATCCGGCTCTTTCCCCGCCACAAAAACATAGGACTTATTCCCACCCCATCCACAGCAAGGAAGATGACCTGTATCTAAAGAGTGAATTTCACAATTAAAGTAAAAACTGAGATCCAAATCTAATTGGGAGTGAAACAATGGAACTGTACTGTCAAGAATAAGGTTCTGAAGCTCCCTGGGGTACGTTGGGTTGGGGTCGGTGGTAACAGAGCTGTCGACGAGGTTGATGGTATTATTGTCATAATTTATTCTTTGAACGTGGTAAGCAGTGTCGTTGTGGAGGTGGAGGACGGCCTTCTCACTCGAGCAACGGATGCCGAGGCCCAGGTAACCACAGTGATCAGTTGCGATGCCGTCTATTTTCCAAAACGGGTAGCTAATATTAACGTCACCGCACATACTCCAACTGCAGTTTTCCTTTTACTCATTACTATACGTAACCAAAATCAGTCTCAATTTTGGCCGTGAATAATAAACTAGCAATTCATCGGTACTCCAGCCATATAGTTTTAGTTTTCTTTTCTTAACCAAAACCGGTTTCAATTTTGACTCTAAACACTAACAAATAACACTAGTGATTCTCCGGTACCAACACCATATAATTTTAATTTTCTTTTCTTCACTTGTGAGTGAAATACTCAACAAATAGTTGGGTGAAGATTATGTATAGAAGTGTTATACAATAATAATAAGCATGAACCCAGTAAAAATTTAGTTAATCAGGCCAGTGTTTACCAACAACAAGATAAATAATATTTTTAAAATAATATTGGGAATTTTTGAGAGGAAGAGGAGAATAAATAATGTTTGGACGGTTCTGTAGATTTGCGAAACAATTTGGACGGTTTTGATATTTGACAAATGTATTTATAATGATGAAAAAAGAGTATTTATAATTCCGAACTGGGAAGAGCAAATATGAGATATGCATGCCTATGAACAATTACGTGGGAAACGAATCTCTTGGACAATTGCTTGTGTTGAATTTTCAGGTCCGGGAAATTTCCTAACAATTTCTATGAGAATGTTGATTGGTCTGCATTTCTCTCATTAATATTTGTTTGCTTGTTAACAAAATAATAATAAATAAATAAATAAAATAAAATCTATTGCACAACAAACCCGTGGCTAGTTGCTGATCAGTATTATATATATATATATATATATATATACAAAAATGATCTTTTACACATTGATCTCTAAGAAATTTTCTTTACACCATGCTCGGTGGTTATTGGATATGATAACACGTTCATTGACAGGTTATTATACTGGACAAATTACATTTACACAATTCTACATTACGTGAATAAGAAAAGTAAAAATATTATATATATAGGTGTGTCACTCCAAATGATAAGAGGCATTTTGGAATAAAATTCAAGAACAAAATCGTAGCAATTCGGATCCAAAACAAACAATATCATATTAAGTGATGAAATTAGTCGTTACATAACATATACTTATAAAAATATATAGTAATCATATCCCATGGCACTATATTTTGTATAAGCAATCATATATTTTTGTGTTTAAATATGTTGATAGGGAAAAATAAACCTAGCCTACGTTGACCTAATGATAGATGCAACTAAGTGTTGACCAGCCGCTAGACCTTTTCGACTTTCAGACAATGATATTTTCATTGGATAAGAATGATAATATTTCATTATCAAGGATAATGAAAGATGACGTGATTCAACAATGTAAGAATAATCTTGGCACAATTTGAGGAAGTCAAAAGGGTTAAATCATATTCCCGACAAATTTGTCAACAAACGGATCTACCCTGATTTCGCATAAGCGGATCTCCTTCGATCTCGCACAAACGGATCTCATTTGATCTCGCACGAGCGGATCTCATCTAATCCCACAAATGATTTGAGGGAGAGTGACTATAAGAATGAGATCCTACCAGTCAATAAAAGTACGACAAAAACTATTATTAAATCCCTGCCTTTCTTTTAAACCTCCGGTGACTGACTTGATCGTCGGAGAGCTCTTGGTAGGCACCATACCGGTACCGTCAAGGTTTATCGATCTTCTACTCGTTTCTTTGCAGGAAAACGATGTCGTATCAGACCGCGTGAATTTCACCCTCAACAATTGGCGCCGTCTGTGGGAAACGACGAGTCCCTTAAATCAATAAATTACTCGGTTGGGTATATGCACTTGCGGTCCGGAATGGTAACTAGAAAAGAAACATCGTTGCAGGGATCCAGTTAAATAGAAGGGTCGAATGAACACCCAGACGTCCCGAATGACCAGGAACGGCTTGCAGCGTTAGAACTATAGGTCCAAACTCTGAATCAGGGTATGGACCAGTTGATCCAGCAAAATGCAGAGATCCTGCAACATTTTATCCCAGCGGGACCACCACCTCAACAAGAATTGTCCGACCCATATCCTCCCAATCTGAATGATAGGGGAGAAAACGAGGAGGACCGAGAAACGATCCTCCTCATAAGTTTGAGGCAAAATAAAGCCAAGTCGGAAACCGACACAAAGAACCTCCTTCTTCGCTTCTGCGAAATCCCCAACCTTAAACAGGCACAACCTTCCGTGTTAAGGAAAAAATAGAGAAAGTTACCTATTTGACCTACAGATCGAGGATCTCAAGGCGAAAATGGAAGATGTAATGCAGGGTATGAAAGGGAAAGGTCATGCCGCCATAGATGACCTGGTGCAGAGGACCAACTTGCCGTTCAGCCCCGCCGTTATGAAAAGCCCCCTGCCTAGCTAGTTCAGGATGCCCTCGTTCGAAAGCTTCGATGGAACTAAAGATCCCCTCGATCACTTGGAGACCTTTCAAGCTCTTATGCATTTACACGCCGTACCAAATGAAATCATGTGCCGAGCTTTTCCTACTACACTTAAAGGATCGGCAAGAGTTTGGTTCAATAAGCTGAAACCAAGAACCATCAACACCTTTGAAAAACTGAGTAAGCAGTTTGTGAGCCACTTCATTGCAGGTCAAAAACATAGGAGGCCGGCCACCTACCTGCTTACCGTGGAGCAACAGAAGGAAAAGTCAATCCGGGAATACATCACCCGATTTAACACAGAGATGTTATAGGTAGAAGAGGTGGACGATAAGGTGGCTTTGGCCGCTTTCATAAGAAGACTCCAAACCTCCAGATTCTTGTTCTCCTTATCAAAAGAACCTCCCACCAGCATGGCAGATTTGTTGATAAGAATGTAGAAACACATGAATGCTGAAGACGCCATGAATGCACGGAAGGGAAAGGAAGGAAATAACAAGAAGAGGTCGGCCTCTCTTACCAGGAATGAAAAGGATACCAATTATAAGAGATCATTCTTCAGCCAAAGCGATAAGACATATCATGAGGAGGACTCAAATAAGTATACCGACTAACAATTGTCTCACAGCTGGAATTAGCCTTATCAAGTCATTTAGAATAAAGACTGGGGGCATCTCAGTTCATCATTTCACGTGTTATTTTATTTTCCAATAAAGTCACCATCACCACTGGGATGGATGACACTCAATTTCTATGCAATAAAATATTACGTTTTCAGTTACCTACCTATAT